CTAGAACTCATTACGTGTTACCAGAGTCACGTGACTTCCGCTGTCGTAACAATATATTAACAAATCTTAACCATTTTATGGCAAAAACATGTTAAACAAGACCTGAAGTTTCTCAATGTACAACGGCGTCTTTAGAAGTCAAGGTCCTAAAAATCAAATATGTCATTCGATAAAAGGCTTTGTTGGCAGTGGAAAAAGCAGATATAGTGTGGTTCACTTAATTAAATAATTATTGTTATGCATTATTCCTTATATTTACTTACAGTTTCACAAAACTTTCCACTAGTACATTTAATATTCCTAGAAATAGCTATTTATTACTTAAGTCTGGGGACTGTGGATTCGTCATTATTTTATAATATATTTGAGATTAACGTCTATATGTCATTGAAATCATGTTTTTCGAAGCAAACAACTATAAAAACAACAAGAGGGAATCTTCAATAGCCGCGGCACTTGAAATTATTTTAGGCATGATCAGAATAAATTAATCTACGAGTCCTTTTTTTTTTTCATTTTTATTAGCTATATTTTTGTGCACCAGCAACACCAAGCTGGGGTGCGCGTATACCCGATTCGATTTTATCACTCATTAGGATCTCTACAAGCCTACCCTCAAGTTCTTTTAGGCAGGATTAGAGTACATTAATCTATTAGACCTTGAGCGTGGTTAAATATATTAATTGAAAGGGGTTGACCTCCTAAGTCCAAAACTGTAACTAGATCTCAAATCGGTCAAGTGGTGACGGAGCTATGAGCTAAAAGTTTGTATCTGATAAATAACTAAGAGCAGTTCTATGAGCTGCTATGCCGCGGCTAAAAATCTAGAACTGCTTTTGACTGTGACTTATTCACACTGTCACACAATTAAACTGTGACCGTGGAATCTACAGTTGTTGACATTAAATAAAATACATTGAAACTACATGTTTCACAAAAAGTATTTTCTATGATTGAAAGAAACTTCACACAATAAAATTCATAAAATATACTTTTTCAAAATACACTATGGTCTTAAACTCCATGTAGTTAATCAATACACGATACAGTTATTACTATTTACTTCATATTGTGATTATCAAGATCAACAAGGTGGTTAGTAAAGTATTTCCATGACATCCTATACCAAAACATACACCCCCTATGATTATCAAAAATTCAATCACCCAATTATGTTCGTCGACGTCATAATTCACGTGTGATGGAGTTTGATTTATCTATATAAATAATAAGACGGATAAGGGTTTAGTGTGGTGTTGTGTAGGACAAGTAGTCGTAGCGGATAAGGTTTTTTTTTCCTCTCTCTTTTTTTATAGTGTGGATTTTTGTTATTGTTTTAGTTTAATGTAAAAGTGAATAATTAAGTGAAATTTATTTGATATTTATCATATTTCATGTGTTATGTAGGGGGAGTATATTAGAAAATTTGACGCCGTTGATTGCAGAGAAAACATGAAAAATATTCTTGTTATAGCGTATCTGACGTTTTTTCATTATGTAAGTAGCATTTTGTTTTGGTTATCTAATTATTCCTCAACTACTTGTCTGCTAACTTTTAACGATCTAATTACATGTTTTTTTTGTTTTTTTTAATAAGGTTTCTTCTACTACAACTTCCCAACTGGAATCTTCAAACTCTACAGTTATGGCTAATGCTACCTCTTTCAACAGCACAACCTTGATTTTTGTAAAAAGTGACATTAACGTGGAACCATTACCAGCTGACCTTGATGTTTCAAATATTGGAAGTTATATTATCGACAAGATAAAGAGTATCTTTCGGCTAAACTATTCTGAACCTCCAGCCACTAGTCATGAAATCAACTACACGGCCATACACAACGCCACGAAAACCCAAACTGAAGTTGACACTACTTCTTACAGCACTATAAAGCGATACCCTCGTCACCCCAAAAATGTTGATATTAACAAAACTGAATTTGGAAACGTGTCTCTAGTTGATTTTAGTACAACTGAACACCTTTTGAATATAACAACTGAACTATCAACAAAAATGGAAATGTTAAACGCTACTACAAAACGTTGGAGTCGAGAACCTAAGAACATGGATATTGACAAGCAAGTTCAGACTACGTCGAATGACACTGTCAATGACCTTGATTCCAACTCTACTCTGAAGACAAATGTGACGAAAGACTCTTCACCAATTACTACGGTCAGCCCCAGTTCTGCCAGCCTTTCATTAACTCTCAGTGTGTTGTGTTTAAGTTATATTGTATTTGCATTATTGACTGTTTCATAGTTCATTCTTTTTTGGAGTTAATATTAAATTTATTTACTTAGTTTTTTTTTATTTTATTAAGCTATTCATACTTCTGTAAATTTTTAATAAAAGTTATTTTGTTATGAGTGAAGCTTCTAAGTTCTAAAACTTTACTAACATTAAAGGTAACAAGAACGAAATTAACACTTTCATCAGGGACTTTATACTCAAATGAAGGTTAAGATTGATAGTAAATTTATTACAATTTCTCTTCGTGGGGAACATATCTTACTTTGATCTACTACTTATCTATTCCATTTGGCATGGTAGTATAGTTAGTATTACTTGGCTTACAAAATGCGGAGATACTAATTCCACACATAAATAAGATTGAAAGAAAAACTTCCAGTTATTATTCATGATTATTAACTCTCTCTCAGAAGAGTTATTAAACGTTTTCTCGCCAACCTATTCACTTCTAATGACAAATTACAGTAATATGAACTGATTTTATCTCTTCTTTCGCCCCCCCCCCCACCACTACTGAGAACAAATTATCATGGTGGATATCGTTGATAGTTTGTTATTCTTACTTTATTTAATTTCGTTTACAGAGTGACAATATTGACCTTTTTCTATATAATGGAGAGAGAGGTGGAGAAGTACATTTGACGCTACTTTTTTTTTTTCGATCATCTATGACGGAGGAGGGGAAGATACTTGTTTCAAATAATGCTTAGGAAATCATTGAACGGTTACTAAAACGTCTAGGAAATTTAATGTTTAGTGTAAATTATCTAGTAGTGCTTTAATGTATCTTGTATCTTAGTGGGTGATATATAAGATTAACTTGAACTGATTTGGTGACAATCGAGTGGTTGGAGTATATCGTGTAAATGGAGTGTTTATTAGAATGTTTTTTTTTTTTTTTTTTCGAATAAACTACAGTTTTTGGTAAATAACTTTGATTATACATTAGTTTCCTTTTTCCTTCAAAATCTCCTATTATTGTTGCACGTAAATTGGTTGTATATGTTTATGGTTGTCCAACACTCGGTTGCTAAATATTTCCAAACTCTAACTTGTACAACATTTACGCAAAGGTTTTTTATATATTTTGGTTGATTCATTTTAATGATTTGAGATCTTTCATTCCGGCGCCAAAGTCCCACTAAACCTGGAAGTCTGTTATTGATTGTTTCTTGAGCCTTGTTCCTATAACAGAAGTACGACTAATAATCTTACCAAAATATTGAACTGCTGGTTCGCCAGTTCTTGTGAAATACTTAATTCATGAAATTTTAATACATGATGTTAGAATAAATAGGTTTTCAAAAATCCTTACACTAATACTAATGTTGTGGCATAAATAAAACTGAAAAATTTCACTTGGACTTAATTCTGTTCTTGCCGTAACATTTTGTTGTCAAGTGGTTTGTTGAATATCAAACTTCACCACCACTACTGTATGTCGTATCACAGTCGGACTGGAGAGTTCTACTATCGAGTGAAAGGCCTAGTTGGCAATAGATATAGTAGTTGTGCTATGTCTCGGAAATTCTTAATAATAATTTGTATACATATTTTTAGGTGTCGGGATTGTAATAGAACACCTTACAACAATGGCTAACCTTAAATGGATGTTTCTCCTGCTCTTCACCATTTCTACAGCAGGTAAGATAATTCCAATCAGTAGGAAATAGTTATGTTTCCTATAATTTAAATTTCGCAGTTTGATAGATGCCTTTTTATCTCGGTCATACAACTGTTTAACGTAAGTTAACAAATACTTAAAAGCCTAATTGATTTTTAACATGCTTTCTATATCTTGTAATGAAAGTTTGAAGATCGTTTTCAAATCGAGGAAATTAGGGTCAGTTATTGAGTTGAAGTCGTGGTCATATTTGCAAACATAATATTAAAGCTATACTACAACAATGAAGAATTTTATTTTACTAATACATTAACTTCGTTGTTTACTGTCAAGTAGTTCACAGCGTCTATGTGTTTTGCGACAACCCAAAAAGTTTAATATAACTGTATTTTGTTTTGGGAAATGCCGAGTTAGAAGACAAGTGTTACTGTTTAAAAAAATATAAACTGGTAATATATCGTTCACAAGGAATTTTAATCAACAACCCCTTTAATGAAATGATGGAATGCGACGTTTCGAAACTGTCTTTATCAAGTGTAATAAAGAATCGTCTCCCACTTTTCCATAGGGTGGATTGTTTCTAAAGGAATATATATATATTGCTTTGGGCTTATTGGGTTATAGGTTAGCTTAGAGGTATTATACCTTTAAATACAGCGTGATTATAAAGAAAGTTTTACAGTTCAGCACTTCATGTCTCCCAAGCAGCATGACATTGGAGGGTGAAACTGCGCAGGTATGTTCAGGATATCATGCGAATTCAAATGTTACTGTTACATTTTGTCACTAGAGGCGCCACTGTAGTTTCTTTTGAATATTGCCCATGAATATAAGTATGCTTGTCGATCACAGTGAAGGTCATTCTACCAACATGAAATTAATAAGTATGCAGAGAGGTGAACTAATAACATTTGATGACGAGGAACACACTTTGAGACTAATAATGCTTGGAGACGACTTGAATGGGTAATGAAGAAAAATCTTTAATATAAGTTTAACATAACAGGAAATGTACAGCGTTTCGACAAGATTTTGTCATCTTTTGAACAAAGCTACCCTATCTCTTCTAGTTTTGCAACAGTATCCGGTCATGTGACCTCTGTTCAATACTGTATATATATCTGTGTCAGTGTAAACTACTTGTACCTGATGATGACAAAACCTTGTCGAAACGTTGTACATTTACTGTTATGTTAAACTTATATTAAAGTTTTCTTCATTTCCCATTCAAGCCGTCTCCAACCATTATTAGTCTCAAAGTGGGTTCCTCGTCATCGAATTTGAATTATCTTTCTATTCGTTTTCCACCTGATGAATCACTTTAAAATATCTTCTATACAACAATATATGCACAACAGAAATTAAATGATGAGATGAAAATGTGTTATAACGGCACGTAGAAAGAACAACAATAAAATAGACCTACAATATTATTGATTATTTGCAAATAGTAACTATGGAGACTAAAATAAAAATAAAGTCGAGAACAAAAACAAAATTTTATAAACGAAAACCTTTCGCCGAGCATTGGCTATTATATTATTTCTCTGTTAATGTTCCCACCTTCATTAAAAGGCGTAAAATGACAAAAACAAGATTTTTAAAAATCTATCTATATACTACTAAAACTCTGAGATTGTTTGTTTGCTTATTTTTTTCAGTCAAAATATCATTCACACTACCGTTCGCGCTCTTTACGAAACTTCTTACTTCACTTTTTTGAAAAATGAAATAGTCTTTCCTTTTACTCCCGATCAACAGTCAAATATATTTTCTTGAATTATGAATAACACGAATGGATTGAAATACTTAATTAAATTATCTCAAATAAACCTTCATTTCGGTGCAATATTGAAATTAGCTTGAATTCTTCATAACCTCTGAACAGTGGTTGACCCAACGGGTCACGGTGGTCTAGTTGATACTGAATTTGGCACAGTTATTTGGTCAAGTTTCTCGAAGGGGGAGTAGACTAATAATGTAGATGCACATTCACACTATGTGCTAGTTGTGGTGAAGGGATGAGTTCGGTCCATGGTCATGTGAGGTGTCTGATTACAGCTCAGGTGTATTGAGAAAAGACGACGCGCATCTGTTATATTTCCCTCAAAATATGTGTATGTATAAATGCATACAGCTGTTATATTCCACAGTGTATGTGAATTATCATAAAAAAACAGAGCAGCCCAGTAAGCGAGAACAGTCAGACAGAGTAAGTAAAAAACGGAAAATGACGTCACGTTAATGAAGATACGATCTTTACTTGTGTGTTGTCAGTTTTACAGTAACTCTGAATAGGTTTCCTTGTGAGAAAATACTATGCTTAAAGTGGCAAGCATGTGGTATACACACCAGTTCCTATATTTTTCTGTAAGGTTAAAAACAAAACAAAAAAAACAACTTAGAATCATTTTGTTGGTTTACTTATTTTGATATGAAAGAATACTGTTCTGCATTAAATTACCAAGCTCGTGCTCTGTTGAAAATGGGAGGGCTTGGTATGTTAAACGAGCATCGGACTTTCTTAAGATGACTATTGTGTTTTATATACACTGAGGAGAAAGTTCAAGTTTGAATTTTATGTCACTTTATTTTTATTAAAGAAATTTTTACAGGCATAAAATTTGAACTAAGCAGCCCGTGGGTATTGTAATTTTAGTTCAAGTGTTTAGATAAGAAGGTAAAGATTCGTGCTATAATCTTATTTATTGAGAAGATTATAGCACGAACTTAACAAACAGCGTACGTGTCTTTATTGAAAAGGTTATAAACACGAACTAAGGGCTGATACGTGTCTTTAATTATGAAGATTTGGTTCTCAACATGTTATCAGCTTACGTGTTGTGTAGTGTGTGCTCGAGAATGTAACTGCGCCTTTTTACATGTTGATTAGTGAGTGAGAAGAGCACTCATTTCGATTCCAACTCGAGCGTTTTATTAAGATAAATACAGCTGTGTATCTGACACCAAACCAGGCGTTTAAGATAAACATAGTTGTGGATATGACACTAACTCAGGCGTTTAAGATAAACATAGTTGTGGATCTGACACCAAATCAGGCGTTTTATTAAGATAAATACAGCTGTGGATCTCATATCGACTCAGACGTTTTATTTAGATAAATACAGTTGTGAATATGACACCAGCTGAGAAGTTTTATTAAGATAAATACAGCTACGGATCTGACACCAAATCAGGCGTTTTATTAAGATAAATACAGCTACGGATCTGACACCAAATCAGGCGTTTTATTAAGATAAATACAGCTACGGATCTGACACCAGCTCAGATATATTGGATTGAAGATTAAAGTTCGAAATTTGGTATCAGCTCACGTGTTTTGATGAGAAGGAGACAGCGCTAAATTTGCCATTCTGCCTTTATATTTAGTCAAAAAAAAAAAAAAA